TCTTTCACGCTCTCTTTCACGTTCTCTATATTCACGCTCCCTATCTTTAGATCGTGATCGGGTTCTTTTACGTCTAATATCCTTAATATCACGGAATCTTTCCTTACGTGCAGGTGACGTTTCAATTACGCGCTCCTTCCTTCCATTGCTTGTAAGTATGACGTCTTCATCTGTATCCCAATCCTGATCACTCGTATTACCCTTCGACTTTATAATTTCCTTATCTTTTTCTTCCTTTTTTTTCTGCTCCTTTTCTTTTTCCTTTTCTTTTCTATGTTCATCAGCTTCAGCTCTTTTACGAAATTTCCCTATTTCACTGCTAATCAAGTTACGTTTTTCTTCCTCTAAATTTGTCTCATGTAGAACTTTGCTCATTTTAACATCATCTTGTCGATTAGTTTTTAATTTATTACTTCGATTGGCAAATACATCATTACGAGCATTGGAATCGAAATCATCAAATTCATGCTTATGTTCCATTAGTATTACCCTAATCTGACTAAGAACGTTTTCATCCTCAGCACCTTCATTTATAACTTCTGATAACCCATTTTTTAATTCCTCCTCTTTGAAATTATCCAAAAGGAGCTTGTTTTTGGCGTCCACTTTAGCTACAAGTTTTTTTCCATCAAGCTCCAATTCACTTAATAATCGAACTGCTCGCATTCCAGCGGTAGGACCACTAAAAATATTTACATATAACAAACTATCACTCTGTTTATAATTTGAATAACTAAACAGAAGCCATACTCATATTCACAGAATCCAAAAGTCGATACTCTCTTCCAGTTAACAACAGCCCCGCATGCAGACAGAATTCTTTTAATTAGCACCTCCGGTACTCGTTCACTAATGTTTCCTAAGATAAAATATAGAATATTTGTTTTAAAAGCTTTGCACACATATTCATTTTTCTAACCAACAAACACAGTAATAATTGGGCCTCTGAACTGTGGCACTGTGTCAGGCGGGCGTTGGTACACTGTAGGCTGCGAACTTATTGTTGCGGAGTTGCGAAAAGTACGAATTGTTGAATTCCCCAAAGGCGACATTAACTGTATAATAAAAAAATATATCTAATAGGTTTACTGAAATTTTGTAGGCAGAGCGCCCAACTTACGTGAGGCGGTGGAATAGACGGATTCATGTAAGGCGGCATTGGTGGTCTTGGTGGGTACGACATTTTGTAACTTAATTTAATAGCGTTCTCAAAGATTATTATCACGTCCTACAAAAAAAATAAATTACTATATTATCAACAACCCTCTCGCTTGATTATCACCAAATTTTCGCAAATATGATATATGTAACTTAATATGACTTCTCAAATGCTGCCAATAATTTTGGTTTTCAGGCAGTGTACAAAAGCGACTACTCAACTGTGCGCTCTGCCAAAGAACATATAATAAGAATGGAAACTCAATTGTTAACTAACCAAAGTATTTGTCACACAACGGAGACTCCAGCCACACTGAGAGTAAAGTACTTGGAGACTTCAGCTCACAACTATTCAAACATGATGTATACATGAAGCGAACATGATTTCATGATTACACATTTTTAATATTTTGAAAAAAATAAGGATTTAAAACATTTTAATTAACATAATTTTAATTTTGAATATTATTTTACATATATTTATATACATTAGACGCTTTCGGCAGCTTGTAAGTGTGATAAAAAACAATCAGTTATTCGCTTAAAGTTGCTACAATGTACGCAAAACAACAACCCTACTTTCTCTATTTAAGCATTTGGTTGTGAAGTGGCCAAACATTTTGGCAAGTAAAGAAAAAACTGTTACCAACATAATAAGTGAACTATTGTGAACCTTCATTGGAAATTTCAAGATATAATCCATTCAAATGTTATAAGTTTTTAATTTTTAACTTGTTAGTTGCAAACAAGTTTAAACTTATTTGGTATAAATATTCGAAACTATTTTTAATTTTGTTTTAAAAGGAAATTTAAAAATTTCCTGCATTCATTCATTTTAGTTCTTTATTAATTTTAATTTTTAATTTTAGTTTCATTATTTATTTTTATACAAAATTAAGAAGTAAATAACACTTGCCTTATGTGCACATATGTAAGATTTGGTCTGTGGCAGCACCAAAAAATAAATAAAAGAACTGTCAACAAGGCACAAAGGAGACAACAATAGCCGCAGTTCCCGCCAGTAGTAGTTTGGAAAAAGAAAAGCAGCACGTGAATAAAACGAAAAAACACAAATTTTAACTTTAAGAATATTTTATAATAACTAAGTATAAGAAATAAATAAACTTATCCATTACCAATACGGAGTGTTAAATTAACTTATCCATTACCAATACGGAGTGTTAAATTCGAAATAAAACCCAACATAACAAACCACTACATTGGTGACCAAGCCGACGCCGAATATAAAAAATGGCTACTCAAGAGCAAAAGATAACCGAAGACACTAACCCAATCAACGAAAACGCAACAATCACTGCAATAAAGCTGCCGATGCCAACATTAATAAAAAACAACATTGACCTTTGGTTTATTCAGTTGGACTACTGGTTCCAAGTCAACAACATAAAGGGCGATACTCAAAAGTTTGGCACAGTTATCGCAGCATTGGATGGATCGCTGTTAGAACAAATTTATAACACAATACAGAATCCACCAGCAACTCAGAAGTACGAAGCTATCAAGCAAGCAATAATAAAAAACTTTGCGGATAGTGAACAAAAACGCATACAAAAATTAGTTAGTGGTTTACAGCTTGGGGATAAAAAGCCATCCCATCTTTTAAGCGAATTGCAACGTATTAGTGGAAGCAAACAAGACGAACAATTACTGAAAGGGTTATGGTTACAACGTCTTCCTGTAGAAGTACAGACATGTCTAGCCACAATTCAAGTGGAACTACCTAAGATGGCGGAATTGGCAGACAACATAACCGAAACAATCCGTATAAACTCAACAATGCAAGGAACTTACGTCAATGCAGCTAACGTCCCTGCAGCAGCTCAATTTCAACGTGATGCACAAATCGAACAACTTCAACGAGAAGTGACCAGACTGACGAAAATGGTCTCGAAATTATCAACCGAACACCGCTCAAGAACAAATCAACGTTCACGTTCAACATCCAGAAACCGGCAATGTCATGATGATAGTGAAGAAAAGACCAGTACAAATTGTTGGTATCATAGAACATATGGGTCAAATGCAAAAAATTGCAAGCAGCCATGCACATATGGCACAAAAAACTAAAACCGACTTCGTCTACGGCGGCAGAGGAAGTTGTAAACGAAACATCTACAAGACTGTTCGTCTATGACAATAAGACAAAAAAATCATTCCTAATAGACACGGGTGCAGATGTTTCACTTATTGCCGCCAAACAAAAAAATTCAAATACAAACAATAAGAACGAAAGAATACTCTACGCAGCAAATGGTTCTATGATCAAAACATTTGGAGAAATAGAAATAACTCTAGCTCTTGGCTTACGAAGAAATTTCACATGGCCATTTATTATCGCAGATGTAAGCACTTCAATCATCGGTGCAGATTTTTTAAATCATTTCGGATTAATAGTAGACATAAAAATGAAACGATTGATCGACACATCAACAAAGATTTTCTCAGCCGCAAGTGAACGTAAGGTAAATGCGCAAAAAATATCAACTGTGAACACATCTTGCAAAATTGCAGATCTACTAAAAGAATACATCGACATCACTAAACCAACACCGACAAATCGCCAGGTGACAAAAGTCACTCACCACATATTAACAAAAGGTCCACCAATATGTGAGAGACCACGTAGGTTACCTCCAGACAAGCTAGCAGCAGCAAAAGAAGAATTCCAAAACTTAGTCACAGCCGGAATATGCCGTCCATCAAGCAGTAATTGGGCTAGCCCCTTACATATGGTAAAAAAACCAGACGGTAGTTGGAGACCTTGCGGAGATTACCGTCGCTTAAATGCAATCACCATCCCAGATCGTTACCCAGTTCCTCACATACATGATTTTGCACACATGTTATATAACCAAAAAGTTTTTTCAACCATCGACCTGATTAAGGCATATCACCAGATACCAGTTGAACCGGGGGATATTCCAAAAACGGCGATCATAACTCCATTTGGATTATTTGAATTTACTAACATGACATTCGGACTTTGCAATGCAGGTCAAACATTTCAACGCTTCATTCACGAAGTATTACGAGATCTCGAATTTGCCTTTGCGTATATTGACGACGTCATTATTGCATCAGCAAACGAGGAAGAGCACAGGCAACACTTGCAACAAGTATTCGAACGATTCAGAAAACATGGTTTAATAATAAACGTATCAAAATGCGTTTTTGCTCAAAACACAGTAAAATTTCTTGGTTATCTCATCAGTGAAAAGGGCATTCAACCTCTACCAGATCGAGTGAAGAGCATCAGCGAGTACCCGCTTCCAACAAAAACAAAAGAATTAAGAAGATTTCTAGCATTACTTAACTTTTATCGCAGGTTCGTACCAAACGCTGTAGATTCTCAAACTGCACTTCAACAAATGATAAAAGGAAACAAGAAGAACGACAACACACCGTTATGCTGGACCGAAGTGAACAAAACAATCTTCCAAAAATGTAAAGATGAACTAACAAACTCGACACTACTTGTTCATCCGTCAAAAACTGCTACGCTTGCATTACAAGTAGACGCCTCGGATAAAGCTCGCGGCGCAGTTCTTCATCAAGTGACAGACAGCACGTTCCAACCACTCGGTTTTTTCTCTAAACGATTAACAGATACACAAAAACGATACAGCACATACGATCGTGAGTTGTTAGCCGCATATCAGGGCATAAAACATTTTCGACATATGTTAGAAGGTCGTGAATTCGTATTAATAACTGACCACAAGCCAATCACGTTCGCATTCCAGCAAAAGTCCGACAAGGCTTCACCACGTCAAGTCCGACAGCTTGATTATATAGGTCAATTTACAACGAATATCGTTCATGTCAGCGGAAAAGACAACATCCCAGCAGATTTTCTCTCGCGGATAGATTGTATTAGCATCCCAAAAATCGACTACGATTGTATAATTGGATTACAACGATGTTGCCCACAACTACAAGATATCAAAAACAACAATTCCATCGAAATCAAACTTTTATCTTTACCAACAATATCAGATAAAATTTATTGCGAAGTTTCAACTGGGCGAATTCGTCCTTACATTCCGCAGAAATACCGGCTACATATCTTTAAAGCTACGCATGGGTTGTCTCATCCCAGCATTCGGGGCACAACAAAAATGATAGCTGAAAAATTTTTCTGGCCTTCTATAAATGCTGATATCAGAAACTGGACCCGACAATGTATCCCATGCCAACGTTCTAAAGTGCAACGTCACAACCGTTCACCTATTTGTCAATATGAACTCGCTGAACACAGATTCGAACATATAAACATAGATATCGTCGGCCCGCTACCACCATCAAACAACTGCACATATATATTAACCATCATCGACCGTTTCAGCCGATGGCCAGAAGCAATTCCGATCCCAGATCAAACAGCGGAAACCATCGCAAACGCACTGATTACTCAATGGATCGCACGTTTTGGCGTACCCTTACGTATCACAACAGACCAAGGAAGACAATTTGAATCTTCATTGTTCAACCAACTAGCTGAAGTTATCGGTTGCAAACACTTACGAACTACGAGTTACCATCCTCAAAGTAACGGAATGGTGGAACGATTTCACCGCACATTAAAAGCAGCCTTAATGTGCCACCAAACAACTTCTTGGACAGAAGTTTTACCAATAGTATTGTTAGGTCTACGCACGACTTTTAAACCAGACATTGGAGCTTCTGCTGCTGAAATGCTATATGGCCAAACTCTACGTTTACCGGGCGAAATAGTAAGCAACCCTAGCCACAGAAATATAAATCAACACGATTTCATAACCAAGCTAAGAGAACAAATGCAGAGCGTCAAGGCAACGTTGGTATCGCATCATATAGATCGAGGCTACCACATCCAACCGGCTCTAAGCTCAGCCACGCATGTATTTATACGAAATGACAAGGTAAAACCACCATTGACGCAACCTTACGATGGTCCTTACCAAATACTAGAGCGAAATGACAAGACGTTTAGAATACTGATCGAAAACAAAGAACAAACAGTTAGCATAGATCGTCTTAAAGCTGCTTTCATATGTCCCGATACAGACATTGACATCCACAACAAATCAATGGTATACCACACTCCAAACAACGTTAATGGCGACCAGTCTGTGCGACCAAATACAACAGCTAACCTGACAAAATCAGGACGCAACGTTCGCTTTCCAACCAAATTCAGTGACTCCATCACTTAGGGGGGAGTACTGTGGCAGCACCAAAAAATATAAATAAAAGAACTGTCAACAAGGCACAAAGGAGACAACAATAGCCGCAGTTCCCGCCAGTAGTAGTTTGGAAAAAGACAAAGCAGCACGTGAATAAAACGAAAAAACACAAATTTTAACTTTAAGAATATTTTATAATAACTAAGTATAAGAAATAAATAAACTTATCCATTACCAATACGGAGTGTTAAATTAACTTATCCATTACCAATACGGAGTGTTAAATTCGAAATAAACCCCAACATAAAAAACCACTACAGGTCTTTGCAAACACATGACATTTAACAGATTGTAACACTTAAAAGCTGCCGAAAGCACCTATTGCCGACAAGGCTATTAGTACGAGGTGGTCTCAATATATGTCTAATTAGAAATCAAACCTTTTAATTTTGGGTAGACTTTAAAATCGGTTACAATCATGCTGTAATGACCTTTTCTGGCACTTTCCAAGGCTAGGGTATACTCAGGTTCAGTATAAAATTTACAAAATCTGATTAGAGAGTTTGCAATAATTAAAAATATATGACAAAGCAATATAAACTTATTCACTCAACTTTATTTACTGACCCAACAAAGGTGCCTGATCTACTCGATTTCTTTATAACCAAGCAAATTTCGTCCTACAATTTAAAAATAACAGATGGAGCAGAACTAAGCTCCGACCATTCCCCTCTCTACCTTAATAGAGAAAAGGTAGAGAGAAGAGAGAGAAGAGAGAAGAACATTCTTCGAATCTGCCTTAATAAATAAAAAATGTCTAAAACTTGAAAATAAATACACAGATTGGAGTTACTTCAGAAGAATCCTTAATGAAAACACTATTGATACAAAAGAAATTTGTGGAGAAAACGATCTTGAAAGCGAAATTTTGAACCTCGAAATTTTTATCCTCATAAATACCCAAAAGTCATTGTGGATCTTATGCGGGGAAAAAAGAAAGATGCGGAAAAAGTGGCAGCAATCCAGATTTCCAGCAGACAAAACCATTCTTAACAGACTTGCAAAAGAACTCAGCCTAAAAATCAAGCAATTTAAAAATAATCAATTCAACTACTACCTATCTAACTTAAGTAACGATCGTGCTACCAACTATTCACTCTGGAAATGCACACGAAACCTTAAGCGACCTTTAGTACACAAAGCTCCAATTAAAAATCACGCTAATCAATGGGCTAAAAGCGATGAGGAAAAAGTGGAGGTCTTTTCCGAACACCTGTCAAAAGTGTTTTCCATAGACGAAAACGTTAACAATGCAGTAATCTGCCCTCCTAGGACAGCACATTCATCCTGTATTCCACCAACCACCGAACTTGAGATAATGATTATTAAAAATGAACTTAAGCTAAAAAAAACCCCAGGTTATGAATTGATAAGTGCTGAAGTTTTAAAAGTAATTCCTGCAAAATGCCTAGTTAAAATTACGAATATATTTAACGCTATAATACAGATGCGAACCCTTCCATCCCTGTGGAAAGTATCTGAAATTATCATGGTACATAAGCCAGGAAAGGATATTAATGACTTAAGTGGCTACAGACCAATAGCACTTCTGCCTGTACTTTCAAAAAATTTGAAAAAGTCTTACTGAAAAGAATCCTTCCTCTGATTGAAAGTCAAAACATAATACCTTTACATCAGTTTGGTTTTAGGTGCAATCACTCCACTATAGATCAAGTCCATAGGATTACCAATGTAATAGAAAAAGCTCTTGAGGATTACCAATGTAATAGAAAAAGCTCTTGAGGAAAAAAAATCTGCTCAGCTGTGTTTTTAGATGTCTCGCAGACTTTCGATAAAGTCTGGCACTCCGGATTGCTTACCAAAGTAAAAAATATTCTCCCAACGGAGTATTATGACGTGATCTCCTCTTACTTATCTGATCGTTACTTTCGAGTAAAGTACGGTGATGCCTATAGCAAATTGTATAAAATTAACGCTGGAGTTCCGCAAGGTAGTGTCTTGGGTCCTCTCTTATATCTCATTTATACACACGACTTGCCAACGAGTGCAACGACGTTCACAGCAACTTTTGCTGATGATACTGCAGTCCTTGCAGTTGGAGAAAGTACTGCACTTTCATAGCAGCTAATAATTTGCAAAATAGTATGGACAGTATAATTGCTTGGACAAAGAAATGGAAAATCAATCTGAATAAAGAAAAATCAGTGCATGTAAATTTCACAAATCGAAACATCAGTCATACACCTGTCTACATCGATGAAGCACAAATCCCTCACGCGAATACTGCGAAATACTTGGGTATGACTTTGGATGCTAAACTAAGATGCAGCGAGCACATAAAAAAGAAAAGAAGTGAATTAGATCTTAAATTCGAATCGTTGAAATGGTTAATCGGTAAAAAATCAAAACTATCGCTTTTCAATAAACTTGTATTATACAAACAAATGCTCCAGCCAATCTGGACATATGGAATACAGCTATGGGGTTGCGCAAGCAAAACACAAATTTCCATCATTCAAAGATTCCAAAATTTCATGCTACGGAGTGTAACAAACGCGCCATGGTACGTGAGAAATTCTGACTTACATCGTGACCTCGGAGTGTCAACAGTACAGGAAGAAATTCATACCAAAGCCAAATCACACCAAGATAGACTTAGGTGTCACATAAATGCTGAGGCGCATTTACTAGCGACAACTGAGCCAATTCGCCGTCTAAAGCGCCAAAAGCCGTGCGATCTTTGGGCTTAAATCATTGAAATGTACTACAGTTAATTCATTATTGCGTGGAATCGCCTAATCTGTTTAAATTTAAATTGCTTGTTAGTTATCTATAACTAGTTGCTTTATGTCTTGTTTTGTTTTATTTATGTTCTTTAATACCATATATAATAAAACAATTTAAAAAAAAAAAAAAACTTTATTTACGTTTTAAAAGTCTTACGAGGAAAAGTCAGTATGATAAAAACTACAACTATTATGAATTCACTAGGTTACAACTAAATTATGATTCAATAATTAGTTTTATATTTAGAATCAACATTTCAAATTGACAAATCAAGTTATATAAATTTACTAAGTTATAAATAAATTATGGTTTAATAATTTAACTTATGTTTTGACTTAAAAAAATTTTTTTTTCTTTCTTTTTTTTTAAATTTATAAAAGAAAGGTTTGAATCGTAATGTACTTTAAATACCTTTTCATTAATATTTAATCATTAAAAAAAAAACAAGGAAAAGTAAAAAACAAAAACAAAAAAAAAAGAGGTACTTACTGCAGTTGTTGAGATGACGTCACCGCTTCATTGCTGTACCTAGCTATATTTACCTGTGGAACAAATATGACGTATTTTTTTTATCTGCCATAAATATTAACAAAGGCGAAAAAACTATTTAACTAGATATAATTGACAAAAAAAAAAACACAATTCATATAATTTAATTTATACACAGAATTAATTATAATTTAATTTATATACAGAATAGTAATTTTCAAAAAAATAATAGACTTTGCTTTTCTAATAGATAAAGTTAACAATGCACTGTAAAATGTATAGCTAATATAAGGGAGAACAAAACCACAATTTCTATATTATATTCATATATACATATTTAGTTCACAAAACTAAACACTGCCGCGGGTATCACAAGTAATGATTTGAAATCACAACCCAAAGAAGAACTCTTGTTCTCCAAACTGCCGCTAGATAACTAGAACAAAAGTTCTAGTTATCCATTTGACAGTTAACGAACCCATCTTTCCTCTCCACAGAGTTCAGATGTTACATTTTTTTTCTTATGCGAGCTTCTGTTTCTTTTTCTTTGTATTTCAATTTTTCGCTGCAGTTCTTTTAATCATGCGCGCGAGTTACATTCTCTTATCTTATCCCTATGCTAAATATTTTACTATCGTTGTTTGACCTAATCAAACAACGAAACATCTACATTGCATCCTACTAAACATTTTATTATCGTTGTTCAGCCTAACCAAACAATGAAATGTTTTCATTGTATTCTATTATCACTACATACCGTATTATACTTTACAATCTCTAACTAAATATTGTAACTAAATATATTATTATCGTTGTTCGGGCTGACCACACAACGAATTGTCTTATCAGGATTCGATACTTCAAATCCTCACTATAAATATAAGCAAAAATGTTAGATATAAGTTAGTCTTAAGATACATTTAATAAAGCAAGCATAAAACTTAAGTTCTTTGCATTTTAATTAAATATAATTCGCGCATCAATTTTTGCAAAAAGTTCTCTGCGCAAAAACTCTTTTGACATTCCTTGTGTTTGTTCATTTGTTTTGATTTTCAATGTGATTTCTTTAGTGTCGGTAGCTCCAGCGTTTAATATTTATATAAATATTAAAAGTATAATATTTAAAGTATAAATTTAAATAATAAATAAATAAGGTGGGTATAATATTTATTTAATTAAATATATTTTGCATTCCTTGTGAATTTTAAATTACCTACTTCATTGCCATGCAACTGCGTGCCTGCGGGGTGGATTTATTATTGTGCACCAGTCGTGATGAGTCGAGGTTTTGATGAGCCATGAAATATTTGCAAGTCAGTGATTTTAATTTCTTGCTTATTCTAGGTTCTGATGGTTGTAAGATCAATTTTATTGCTGCCGCATAAATTGATCATTACAATGCCTTTATATATATACATATATATACATGAAGTGTGACATAAACCAACAAAATTAATTATACATTAATGCATTAATAAGCAAACCAAGTTAAAAAATTAAATGTGCTTGTTAATCACACTTTCATGAATTCATAAAATTTTTTGTATATTTTTAAATTATTTATTTTTTTATAGTTGTGGTGATAACGCAGTATACATTTAAGAAATCAATTTGACAGAAGTAATTTTATACTAAGAAAACAAATTTTATATAATTTATATAGTTTGTAATTGAGAAGTAATATTAAGAGCAATAAAGGTGTTGATACAAAGCCTTGCAATTACAACATTGGTGACCCCTCGAGCGAACAGTGTTAAAAATGAATAACCAGACGCAAGAATTTTTTCCAGCAGAGGGTGAAAGCTGTTTACCCAAAGAGGTATATCGAGTATCGATAAAGCCGTTAACTTTCTCTCAAGAACAACCGGACCTTTATTTTTTGCAAATGGAAGCACAATTTAGAAATGCTGGCATTGTAAGGGACGGAACAAAATTTGACTACGTGGTGGCAGGGCTAAAATCAAAGTACTTGATGTGCATAGCCGATTTAATTCGAGACCCACCTGCAACATTAAAGTACGAAACAATAAAAAACGTCTAATAAATGAATTCACTGAATCCGAACATAAAAGGCTTAGTTACAGAGTTAGAGCTGGGCGATTTGAAGCCAACGGAACTGCTAAAAAAAATGAAAGAAATGGCCGGCAACTCAATGGGAGATGACGTTATAAAATCGTTATGGCTGCAGTTAGATCGATAGTAGCAATGGTAGAAGGTGATTCAGCACAGTGGGTCAAAGTCCCGGATAAAATAGTCGAGGTACAAGATACAGGAACGGTGTATGCAGTACAACATAGTTCAGACGAATTAGCCGAGATGAAGAAAGAAATAAAAGAACTTAAAACGATGGTAAAAGATAAAAAACGCGGTAGAGGACGTTCACCAAGTGCACAAAGAAGTGATATCTGTTTTTATCACCGACGTTTTAAGGAAAATTCCACAAAATGCGTGCAGCCATGTCAGTTCAAGAAACCGCGAAATTCAGCTTTATCCCGAATTGAAAGTGTGATGACTGAATTCAGACGACCATTAGACTATTGTAAATTGGTAGAAGCGCAGAAAACTGATCAAGAGCTGCATGAATTGTTGAAAAATCGTGCATCGTCATCTCTGGAGCTTGAACTGGTGAATCTGCTTCTAGATAATGTGTCCATATACTGTGACGTTTCCGGAAAGAGGGCAAGACCATTCATCACGAAAACATTCCGCAAGCAAGTGTTTGAGAAATTATACACTTTAGCTCATCCTAGAAGAAAAGCAATATTAACACTAGTCATTGATCGTTTTTGTTGGCCTAAAATGAAGGCGGAAATAAGCGAAATGGTAAAAACATGTATTGCGTGCCCAAAATCAAAAATCTAGCGGCACAATAGAACCGTGCTGCAGGAGTTTAAATCACCAGATCAACGCTTTGAGCACGTAAACATTGATATTGTGGGACCATTACCTCTCTGCAATGGTATGCGGTATTGCCTAACATGCATCGACAGGTTCACAAGATGGCCCGTGGCAGTACCGTTGGTTGAAATAACAGCAGAAAATGTTGCTGAAGCATTAATAAAAGATTGGATACCACATTATGGCGTGCCAAAAAGAATTACGACAGACTAAGGACGGCAGTTCGAGTCCAAATTATTTGAGGAACTAGCAAAAATGTTGGGGTGTGAACTACCGCGTACCATCCTCAAGCAAATGGGCTAGTGGAACGTTTTCATCGTACCTTAAAAATGGCACTGAAGTGTATGTCTAATATGGAATGGACGAGGACTTTACCGTTAGTAATAATGGGGCTAAGGTCAACATATAAAGAAGACCTACAAGCGACACCGTCAGAGCTGGTTTATGGCGCAAACATACGCTTGCCGGTAGAAATGTTCGATGACGAAGACAAACAAGTACCGCAAACGGAGTTTGTAAAGATAATAAAAGCAATGATGAGAGAGCTGAAACCGTTACAAACCTCACGTCATATGGCGGAAAAACCGTTCGTGCATAAGGATTTAAAAAGCAGTTCACACATATTCCTACGTAACGATGCTGTACGTCCTCCACTGAAACAACCATACAAGGGTCCGTATGAAGTGGTAAGTCGTAGCGAAAAAACCTTAAAAATTAGGGTAAAAGGACGGACAGTAAATGTTAGTGTGGACCGCGTAAAAGCCGCATACATGGCGAATGAAACCGGGGAAAGTTTGACAGGAGAACGAATGGAAGAACCTAACCGCAGTGACTGTATTCAACATACACCGAAGGTGACTCGAACGGGAAGGATTGTACGGTTTCCAACGAAGTATACTGGATAAGTGTCACTTCAACAGAAGGTAGAATTTGTCGTCAGTT